AAAAAACATTACATAGGAGAAACAAAAAGAAAAGTAAAAACTAGACTGAAAGAACACATAGCAGATCTTAAATACAATAGAATAAATTCTGCATTTTACGAACATTGTACTATAAACAACTGTAATATAGATAAAGATAACGTAGAAATACTGCATAAAGAAAAATTAACGTACAACAGGAAGTTTAAAGAAACCATAGAAATCGTGAAAAGTAAAGACAGTATAAATAAAAACTTAAGTCTTAAAATAAACGAAAACTGGATTAATATATTATAAATAATATTTTTATAATGATCTTTTTTTCTATCGAACGTCATACATGGCAACACTTAAGATACCAGCGCATAAGAAAAAATAAAAAGGGGGTGGAAGGTAGAAAGGGGGAGGAAACAGCTAAAAATTTTTTACAGTTGTGTTGTATCGGAATATGCCTATAAGAGAAGATTTTAGAATATTTTAACCTTTTAATTTATAATATATACTAGTTTTACAAAGATTAAAGCAGATTTTACATGTTTTTAAATTATACAAAGTGTAACAAAAGGTACGTCTATATATCGTTTATGTACTCATTGTTTTATCTACTGTAATAAGTTAAATATATATATTGTATTTTAGTTGAATGAAGAGGGGCAAAGCCCGAAACGAGTACAAAACAATGTACCGTATCAACTAATAAAGGAATTTGATGGAAAATTTGCCATGTGTCTTTGGAATAAAACACAATACTAGTGTTTACTACGCCACAAATATAAAACAGGACACGGTTCCAAAAAGAAAATCAAAAAAAGTTTGGCGATTTAATCATCATTGCTTACAGTCATCCAATATTAATGACCGACCTCATAAAATAAATTTCAATATATGAATATGTAAGTTAAAAATATCGATTGTAAATGTACTTGCAAAGCTAGAGGCATGACAAGTAGTCATATTATTTATAAATTTATTAAAAATATATTGTATATAAATTTTTTTATATTTTATATCTTTTTTTCTCTTCTCTTTTTCTGCTCTTCATTACAATAGGATCACGTCTCACTTCCGTTAATAAGGTTACAGACAAATTTATTGATGGAATTTATTGGAAGTAGCTAAGCTATATATTCTTCAGTTTAGAGCAATAATCGAATAGTATTTTAGCTTTTTTCTAGTACACCGATTCCTGTTGCAGAAAGCTAGCGACATGTTTGCTTAGACCTAATTGCAAATAAAGTAAAAAAGGCATTCCAAATAATATCATGCTTTGATTTCTTTTTGCTGGCAATAAATAATAAGTATTTAACAGTTTTTTTTATATTCTTCGACTTATCTTTAACACGTATTTACTCTCTTTGGATACTTTTCTATCGATTTTCGTTGATCCCGTCTGAATATGCAGTCAAGTACAGTATACTTTAAACAAATTGTTAAATCTTTGAAGATCCTAATCTCTGTAAAATATAAACAATACACAAAAGGTGAATAAAACTACTTAACCTAACTTTTTTGTTGTCGAGAAACAATAAATTACTGTACTTTTTATCCTTGTTATGCAAGTCTGAGTTGGTGGAGTCCGAGTTAGCGGGGGTTTACATTATTCAGCAAAAAAAACCAGTTAGTTCACACACTTCCTTTTGATCAAATTCAGCAAATGAGGTTTGAAATCAAACCTTATGACCTCCAGATGTACAAAAAACTATAAAAATTTAAATATTTTTTGACTCGATCGAATTGTTAACGATTTTATCCATTTCCGATCAGTCATTTGACCAATAGTACTAACACCTGATCTATTATTAGAATCAGTAACATTGTAAGATTATTTGAATCTTAAATTATAGTTAATTATAGAATTTTGAAAATCAAATTGGGAAGTTTCTACGATTTTAAAAATACATAGAAAATTAACGAATTTGGTTTTCAAAATTCTGAACCGTACGTTTATAAAACAATTAAATAGGATTCTAACTAAAAAAAAAAATTTGTTTGGTTCTATTTGCTTCCTTTTCCAAGAATTTTTGAAAAATGATTTCCCATAAAAAAAAAACCATTAAATTTTTAACGCCATCTGCTGCAGATCGCCTGCACGATCAAAAGCTTACAACCATCCGTAACGTTTATATTTATAAAACCGTACACGTTTTATCACGTGACTGTATATTGCTTCATTTTGACGCTATTATTTGTAAGCACCATGTTAAAAATGTCGAATTTATTATATGTTTAACTTTATACATTAAAATTATTTTATGCTCATTAAAGTCTGAGTAATTATTGAATAAAACATTGGAGGTGGCAAATGTCTACCACTGCACATGGTCTACAACAGTGGTTCCCAACCTTTTTTCATTAGNAAAAAAAGCGCTTGACAAACTTGCCCCGCATGCCGAAGTTACCCCGGTCTCCCCTATATATATTGCTATTTACATGATTCGTGTAAAAGCGTAACATTACTTTTACAGTGGTTTTTATGTATGAAGACGAGTGCAAAATTTTCTGCAATGTTTCCCTTCGAAACATTCTAGACAGTTTAGCATAGATGTATATAGTACATAGTTATAAGTAGCCGTCTTTCTGTGTTTTCACCTTAGGCACTTATGGAGAGAAAACGAGTACCTCCCGACTTCCAAGATGTAGTTTCGTTAGCACCACCACCATCAGTAATTTGGAAACTATCGATATTGAGAACAATTCCGGATTATTGTATCGTTTCGTCAATCCACAATGTAACCTCGATGTAACGATTTTATTCCTCTATAGTTTTTCTCGTGAAGTTAGGATTGTTAGCAGAGGCGGTAAATTTCTCCCCTCTCAATTTATCCTTAATTAATCCTAAATGGGTTATTCAAACAGTTCATAACATTAGTCGTTAACTAATGTTATGAACTGATACGTGAACATTCTATCTCTTGTATATATTTTAAGAACCGATTTAAAAGATTTGGCGAAAATTAGCTTTTCTAACGGAAGTATTTGTTTGTTTCAGGATTGCGTGGAAGAAGCATACTTGACGCGTCTGTTTGATTCCTTGATTTCCCCCCGATGCTACGCCTTGATTGCCATCAAGAAGAAATCAGAATGAAGGGTCATTTCTTCGGAAATTACAATTTTATTAGTAATAAAACGTAATTTATCGAATTTTTTTCTTTAAATAATTTGTATCGACGCGAAAACATTAATTAAGCGAATTTAATGATTAATAAATTCCGCCAAGGGATTTAATCGTGGAGCTGCGTACAATCGGAATGTATTTCGACTATAGTTTTTGCGAAAGGATGAGTCTGCGCTAAATCCTGGTGGTGAAGAGCAATAAGAACGTTGCAGTATATTATGCGCAGACTTTTTCTGTATCTTTTACGAAAACTGATAAGTTGTACCTTCTTTCTGTTATGTTCGGACTGTTTATAGAGTTTTGCTTTATTTGAGATCCCCTTTTCTATGTGATTATATCGAACATTTAGGAGTAATTTACGCTAAAGACTTCCTTATTCCTGGCAAAAATAAATAATAATTTTAAAACTTGCAAACTTTGAGAAAGCTTTTAGACACTACTACAGTATTTAATTTTATCATTAGTTCTCTAAGAATAAAAAACGATGTGGACAATTTCGTGTGCACTGTAGGAAGAGTATGAATGTATTTATCGCATTTTTTCCAAAAAAAAAAAAGGAGATTAAACTCGAAAGGACCCGGTTGAAAATATCTGGCATCTCGAAAGGGAAAGTTGTCTCTGTAACGAGTCCTTAAAATATTTAAAAAGAAGCCTTTATGGAGACGCACGGAATTTTCCGGGAGATACACGGAACGCCACTTACCTTGGCAACCGAACACAACAAACTTTAATAATTAATTTGTTTTTGTTACGCCCCTCTTTGTCCGCGTTTAATATTCGTCGGCCAAGTCACTAATTACCGAGATAGAAAATGGCGCCGGTTAATCAGAATTTTTAAACTGGGGAACCGCCCGTGCCCCGGGAGACTTTATCGAGGTTCCATATAAAATATTAAATGTAAATTGCCGATCTGCAGAAGAAAGTCGCAACGATTTTTCTCTCGTTTCCTAATAACAAATCACCAGATGCATTCGGTTCACATCTAAATTCAATCTCTGTGTTTCTAGAGTTTAATTTGTTCATCCAATCGGAAGAGGTCGATATTGGTTCAGTAAGGCATCATAACTGGCCAGCATCCGACTTTATTTAAGAATAAATAAGGAAATGTATTTCTAAGTAAAGGAAGATGAGAAGGAGCCTTTTCTAAATCCGCTCCTTCGTTCTATTCCAGAATCGGTCGGCGCTGCTGCTCCGTTAAGTGGGAAGAGCGCTGGTTCGATATTTCGGTCGACGTCTCTATGACGACGTGACAACACGACGAAAGAAACGATTCCGTCCCTCTTTCCCGCCGCCCTTTCAGGTTAACGACTCAAATTCCGAGGCGAAAATACCTCTCAGACCTTTATACCGGGTGAGTACTCTTCCCTATTCCAAGTTATTTCCCAAATTAACGGTGGTTTGGGGAACAGCTTTAATTCAGTTTAGAGATAATGTTTAGGTATTTGTGGAACGATTTTCGGATGGTTTTTCTTTCATTTTTGATTCATCTCTATAAGTTCTAAGAAGGCTGTCCGCTATGGATTCGATCAGGTCCTCGAGGGAGGTTGCCGGATGGTGAGAGGAGGGATCTGACATCTCTTGGTAAGACCATTCACGAAAAATCCTGGGTCTCCCGTCGATGTGCAGTACACTAACGCATCAAGCTTTTATAGCGACTATTCAAAGACGTTTTGTGACGAAACTGCGCTTTTATTTTTATTTTATCTCGTGACTTCTTTCGATTTTGCGTAACTAATGAGTGGCCGGGAAAACTAAGTGTATTAACAATTAAAGACGACGACGTCTCATGAATAATTTATTTTCAGTCACCGAGTTTCTCCAGGGAGTTTCGACATCAGACAGAATGATCACCACTTCTTCGTACCGCCTTCCGACGCTCCTTTTCGTCTCTATTTCTTCCGAAAACTGAAGGCAAAAGAAACTCAGGTAAAGTTTTTCTTTCTTTCTTCAGTCGTAAAAAATGTATTTTATAAAAGTACGAATAAATTTAAGTTCTAGGTTAGCCAATGATTATTCAATCCGATAGAAAGTCTCGATTTTTCTTCTGTGCATCAGAAAGGAAATGTTAACATTTCCGAAGCCTTTGATTCGCTCCCGTTGAAAACATTCTCGCATTTAGAATTGAGCATTGGTAAGGAATAGATATTAAAAAGAATTTCCAGTTAGACTAAAAGAAAAAATTTTGTGCACGTGAAAGTTAATATTTGAGAACGAAGACATTTGGCTTTGGTCGATGATGAAATACAGTAGTTTGATGGAATCTTTCGATTTTGTAAAACCGTTAATTTTGTAAGATGTTTATAAATGCTTTCGATCGAGTTTCAAAACAGTTTTCTATATGAACCTTTACATTCTCTGCTAAAAGAAATAATTGCGACTTGAAATTAATAAGTTCATTAAAATTAGCCGGGAAAGTTACGCAACTCGTTGCTGGAATTTTTGTTCTGGTGACGGGAAAACTATTTTTTCAATAATTCAAATCATTCGATTCAGTTCATTTAAAAGATTCAATCAAATAATTCAGTTCGTTCTGGGTAGAATTGATGTGGTAACACGTACCGACTCGAAGCATTCGAGATCAAAAGATTTTTAACGTGTTAACTGAATTGCTGGTTTATAAAGAATTGATGACTCCACGAATGGCTTTGACATCAGAAATTAATTCATCGATCAAACAACCTGAAGAAGTTCAGTGCTGTAATTTCTAGGAATTCATTATTAATAGATTATTTTGTTGATATACAGTAATGACTGAAAGTTATAAAGTAATATAGTAAAATAAAAAAGTGAAGTTCAAAGGGAAAAGAATAAAGACAAATTTTTATACCAGATACATGACATAGTAGTTTATAAATTTTTAGAATAAGCTATATTTCTATACAGTATATAGAGCATAATTTCTATATCTCATAAGATGTAATTAACTATTAACTACGTTCTACACTAGTTTGTTTCCTCAGCGTAATTTCTATATCTCACAAGATATAGAAATTACGCTGAGGAAACAAACTAGTACTGTATAGAACGTAGTTAATTTAGATTTATTTCATCAGATCAGCAATAAAACCAATAGTCCTACTCTTTTTGTTTTTAATATAAAGTCGTTTCACAGACACAATTATGGCGATTTTCTCCTTTCTCGTTTCATATCTACAGCTTTCCGATTATACTTTCGGAGCCGATCTTAATTCGTGCCATTCTCGTACTGAAATCACCCGGGATTATATCATCGCTTCCCGGACATACGCATTTCCATCACTCGAAAGCATTTTTTCACCACAATATTTTAAGTCAATACAATAACAATTGCAACTATAATCGTTGAAGTTTCAGTCCTAGGATAGAAATTTTTATGGTAATATTAATCGGAAAACATTAGTTTATTGGACCTATTGATTTTGTTTCTTACAGCGTTAAGATGGAGAACGTCTTCAACGACTTTTTCGTCTTTTCCTTCGTCGCTCACGCGCGGTCGGAGAAAGATTCGTACAGGAACCGAAGACGGAACCTGTGGTTGACTCTTCAGAAACATTCTTGGTTCGAAAAGGGAGAAACCTTCAACAGCGTCGAAAAAGGAGGTAAAATTTTTACTGTATTTCTCTTCTCTAGTTCCAGGGTCGACTCACTAACCTCTCTTTTTTCGCTAGAAAAAGCATTGTTAGTCTCTGATGGAATGGAAAAAACATCACACGACGAATAGAGCTTGCTTCCACTTGCAAGTTTTAAATAGTAGGGGCGAGCGATTACTATGGAAACAATTTAAATAAGGAATCTCCAGGAGTTTTGTGCGTTAAGTTACTGCCGGTAAGATTCGCCGCTTTCGATAGCCAATAAAGTGATAGCGTATATCTGTCGTCAGAACAATAGAATATATCCCGTGCGCGAAAATGTGACAGTGCATCTAATTGGCTGATGTATGATAATGGTATAAACGCTGGTATTCCATTGAATGCAGTGGAATACCAGCTGTGTGTAATTTTGGTGTTAAACATTTATCGCCATCGCTCGCGGCGAGAATCTTGTAATTAGAATCGGACATTAAGCATTGACTTCAATTACGTGTGTTCAGCAGGAGCAGCGAAGATGTAGAACATTATTTCATCAAAAGATGCAATAATGTTTTACATCGTTGTTGTTTCGCCGGTAGCGTTGGCGGCTATGCAAAAGAAGCCAATTGGAAACGCTAATACATTGACCTATTACAGGGATAGCGAACCTTTTTTTAGCCCGCGTTCCATATAGTAAGCATATTTGACTTTAAAGATGTTTATGCGTGTCAAAGTTTTAGATTTCGAATAACGATATTTAAAGAAATTAAACGAATACTCTTTAATTAGAATAATTGCAAAAAAATCTGATTGAAAAGGGGATGATAAGGTGATAAACCGAAAGGATGATTGAAAACACAGATGATAAATCAAAATCGTATGATATGTTATGAGCCAGAGGATTTCTCCTTAAGCGCCACTTTTGGCACTCGTGCCATAGATTCGCTATCCCTGGCCTATTAGATGCACTGTCACACTTTCGAGCACGGAGGAGATTCTATTGTTCTGATGTCAGATATATGTTACCATTTTATTGGCTATCGAAAATGGCGGATCTTAGTGGCAGCCACAAATATTCGACACATCGAAATTTTCCTTAGCGGCGCGGCGAGCCGCTAGAGCGCTACCTTTTGGGATTATTTCAATAGTAACTGTCACATAACTGCTGGAAACGTGAAGTGGAACCAAGGCTTTAAATCAAAGCCGGGTTAGCGACAGTTTCGTAATTTCCGGTCTTTCTTCCACCAATTTCGATTTTCAAAAATTGGCAGCTCATAGATGTTTATCTGGCCTTCGCAGATTTTCCAAATGGGAGTAGGCGAATTTTTATCGCCCTCTCAAGCTTCCAACGAGAATTTAGAAGTACAATACGTTTGATGCCTATCAATTCTTAATTTTTTGTAAAATTTAGTATAGAATCTTTCCCAAAATTTCATCACTTTTTTAATTTCTCCATAGCTTCAGTTGGAATTTTCATTACTCTGTCTCATTATGTTCTAGATTGTGTACCTGGCTACAAGACGATAGCATTCCTTTCCCAGAAGTTTGTCGGCCGAGAATACCCCTTCATGTTGATTATCTATTTAGTGTTTTTGATTCTTACCATATCGGGAACCTCAAAGTTCTTGGTTTTCGTTCTTTCCCGCTCTTTTTTGTTTTTTTTTTGGGGGGGTTCCCGGTGCATTCCTATAGCAGCTATCGATTCCGTTGTTTGTACCGGAAATTCTCTGATAGGGAGAAGCTTCTTTTAGCGACGAAATTCCGTTTAAAGAGGATCCTTTGAGCGTCTTCTGACACCAAGTCTTTCTCACATATTCGGGAATAAAATGATCTACAGATGGTGTTGAGGTACTCAATATGGCCTGCATAAAGCACCAGAGGCTAGCTCCTGAACGACGCTAGCCAACCACTTTAAAAATAGGTTAAAAAGTGTGACCAACATTAGTTATTTGCATTACGTTTTAACAGATAAATGCGATATATATTATTCGATAATTCATCTTTAATTAAAAGTATTTAAATTTATTCAATATAGACTATTTTTAATTTATCAAATCTAGACACAAGCACCGAACGTTTATATTTATCGACTAAACTAACTGTGGAATTGCCGACGTGGTGCAGTTGGTGGGACGAGGGGTCGAGAAGGTCTTATGTGGGTGCGATTTGGACACAGTCTGGATTATTATTTACAATTGAACCCGTTTAATTAAATAAAAACATGCTTAGAAAATTTAGCTATTGGTTGCTTTATAAAGGATTTCGTCATGTTTATCTGTCGAATGATAGATTCCAGAGAAAGTCCAAATATCGCTGTCAATGTTGACGACCAGTCCCTCGGCGATGGCCCGGGACTTGCTTTGTTTGGTGAAACTTTTGGATCAGTTAGGAAGGTGAGGTCGGCTGAGTTGTTCGTCTGCAGTCGGTTGCTCGAGAAATACAATTTGTGCCAAGTTTCGTCTTCACCCGGCTTTACGAAAAATTCAGTTCCATTTGCTCAAATTTGCGTACTCTAAATCTAAATTCGCGTAATCTGTTACATTTTGTTTATGCGGTTAGAGCGTATCCTGATAAGCGACAGATTGTCAAGAAGAGAACGGACCTCCTGGGATGAGAATTTGTACAGGTTAAATGACTTCTGTTTTCAAAACTGCTTATAATTTTAAAACAATGTTTTGAAGTTCGAATATATAAATTTAACTTTTTTGTATGTGTATGTCGATGGAGAGGGCTTATAAGTCCATATAGCCCTCCCCTTGTATCCGCCACTGTATTCAGTGCCAAATAATACATCTACGTCTGTCCATCTCGAAGCTCGTTGCATTCTCAGTTGTACCAGTCCGGATGCATTTTATGCACTTTCAGTAAGTGGCTAATGGTCACTCGATTGACTTAATTAATGGACGTGTCCAAAGAGCCTTAAAGTATAGAATATTTTCTTTCAAACTGTCAAATACAGTAGAACCTCGATTATCCGGACCTCCATTATCCGGATTTTCGATTATCCGGATTGTTCAAAATAAACAAAAATTTTACGAATTTGCTGATTTGCACTTGGCGAATTACGACACTGTTTATGTACGTGATAGAATGCATAACTTTTTTTGTTTCAACAACGTCTTACCCAGCACAGAGGTCGTAAACTCTTAAATATATTTTACGTCGTAATAAAAATATAACTTGACATACGTATTTATAAATAATTTATATTCAAATTATATCATTTCTATGACCAAGGGCGGCGTAAGGCATGAACAACATGGGCCACCGCCTATGCCTCGCGGTCCGAAAGGCCTCGCGCCTCGAAGATTTATGCATTACAGTAATACCCCGAACTTACGCGATAGGTGGGACCGAGCGATAACCGCGTAAGTCGAATTCGGTTAAGTCGGGGTATAATTTCGCATATAAATACATACAAATAATTTTTAATTGGGGCCGGAGACTAAAGAAAACCAATAATTTAGAAAAAAAAATGTTTAATAAAATCTTAGATAATACATATGTATAACAAATTATACTATTATAAATTTTTCATATTTACTTGATTATCACACCATAATTTTAACATTGTTTCCATTTCAGCGATAATACCGTGACGTTTACGAATGATGCTTGAATTTAAAGATTGAGCGTTTTTCACAGCTTCGAGAATTTTTTCTATACCTTTTTATAATTGTTCTGGCCGACAATTTCGGTAGATCAAACTTNAAAAAAACCAGTTAGTTCACACACTTCCTTTTGATCAAATTCAGCAAATGAGGTTTGAAATCAAACCTTATGACCTCCAGATGTACAAAAAACTATAAAAATTTAAATATTTTTTGACTCGATCGAATTGTTAACGATTTTATCCATTTCCGATCAGTCATTTGACCAATAGTACTAACACCTGATCTATTATTAGAATCAGTAACATTGTAAGATTATTTGAATCTTAAATTATAGTTAATTATAGAATTTTGAAAATCAAATTGGGAAGTTTCTACGATTTTAAAAATACATAGAAAATTAACGAATTTGGTTTTCAAAATTCTGAACCGTACGTTTATAAAACAATTAAATAGGATTCTAACTAAAAAAAAAAATTTGTTTGGTTCTATTTGCTTCCTTTTCCAAGAATTTTTGAAAAATGATTTTCCCATAAAAAAAAACCATTAAATTTTTAACGCCATCTGCTGCAGATCGCCTGCACGATCAAAAGCTTACAACCATCCGTAACGTTTATATTTATAAAACCGTACACGTTTTATCACGTGACTGTATATTGCTTCATTTTGACGCTATTATTTGTAAGCACCATGTTAAAAATGTCGAATTTATTATATGTTTAACTTTATACATTAAAATTATTTTATGCTCATTAAAGTCTGAGTAATTATTGAATAAAACATTGGAGGTGGCAAATGTCTACCACTGCACATGGTCTACAACAGTGGTTCCCAACCTTTTTTCATTAGCGTACCCCGTGACATGTCATATCATCCGGACTACCTTCATCCCCAATTAGTCCGGATAATCGAGGTTCTACTGTATGTGTATTGCAATAATATTAACCAACATTAAACATGTGTGATGAACAGTTTGGAAGTTTGGAACTGAAAGAGTCAAAAAGAACTCACTGAAGTCGAAGCTATATTTTTATCTACAAATATATACGGTATTGGAATCACAGACAATAATAATAAAAAGTTTTTGTGGCGTAGTAAACACTAATTTTGTGTTTTATTCCAAAGACACATGGCAAATTTTCCATCAAATTCCTTTATTACCTGCGCAAACAAAAAACATTACATAGGAGAAACAAAAAGAAAAGTAAAAACTAGACTGAAAGAACACATAGCAGACCTTAAATACAATAGAATAAATTCTGCATTTTACGAATATTGTACTATAAACAACTGTAATATAGATAAAGATAACGTAGAAATACTGCATAAAGAAAAATTAACGTACAACAGGAAGTTTAAAGAAACCATAGAAATCGTGAAAAGTAAAGACAGTATAAATAAAAACTTAAGTCTTAAAATAAACGAAAACTGGATTAATATATTATAAATAATATTTTTATAATGATTTTTTTTTCTATCGAACGTCATACATGGCAACACTTAAGATACCAGCGCATAGGAAAAAATAAAAAGGGGGTGGAAGGTAGAAAGGGGGAGGAAACAGCTAAAAATTTTTTACAGTTGTGTTGTATCGGAATATGCCTATAAGAGAAGATTTTAGAATATTTTAACCTTTTAATTTATAATATATACTAGTTTTACAAAGATTAAAGCAGATTTTACATGTTTTTAAATTATACAAAGTGTAACAAAAGGTACGTCTATATATCGTTTATGTACTCATTGTTTTATCTACTGTAATAAGTTAAATATATATATTGTATTTTAGTTGAATGAAGAGGGGCAAAGCCCGAAACGAGTACAAAACAATGTACCGTATCAACTAATAAAGGAATTTGATGGAAAATTTGCCATGTGTCTTTGGAATAAAACACAATACTAGTGTTTACTACGCCACAAATATAAAACAGGACACGGTTCCAAAAAGAAAATCAAAAAAAGTTTGGCGATTTAATCATCATTGCTTACAGTCATCCAATATTAATGACCGACCTCATAAAATAAATTTCAATATATGAATATGTAAGTTAAAAATATCGATTGTAAATGTACTTGCAAAGCTAGAGGCATGACAAGTAGTCATATTATTTATAAATTTATTAAAAATATATTGTATATAAATTTTTTTATATTTTATATCTTTTTTTCTCTTCTCTTTTTCTGCTCTTCATTACAATAGGATCACGTCTCACTTCCGTTAATAAGGTTACAGACAAATTTATTGATGGAATTTATTGGAAGTAGCTAAGCTATATATTCTTCAGTTTAGAGCAATAATCGAATAGTATTTTAGCTTTTTTCTAGTACACCGATTCCTGTTGCAGAAAGCTAGCGACATGTTTGCTTAGACCTAATTGCAAATAAAGTAAAAAAGGCATTCCAAATAATATCATGCTTTGATTTCTTTTTGCTGGCAATAAATAATAAGTATTTAACAGTTTTTTTTATATTCTTCGACTTATCTTTAACACGTATTTACTCTCTTTGGATACTTTTCTATCGATTTTCGTTGATCCCGTCTGAATATGCAGTCAAGTACAGTATACTTTAAACAAATTGTTAAATCTTTGAAGATCCTAATCTCTGTAAAATATAAACAATACACAAAAGGTGAATAAAACTACTTAACCTAACTTTTTTGTTGTCGAGAAACAATAAATTACTGTACTTTTTATCCTTGTTATGCAAGTCTGAGTTGGTGGAGTCCGAGTTAGCGGGGGTTTACATTATTCAGCAAAAAAACCCAGTTAGTTCACACACTTCCTTTTGATCAAATTCAGCAAATGAGGTTTGAAATCAAACCTTATGACCTCCAGATGTACAAAAAACTATAAAAATTTAAATATTTTTTGACTCGATCGAATTGTTAACGATTTTATCCATTTCCGATCAGTCATTTGACCAATAGTACTAACACCTGATCTATTATTAGAATCAGTAACATTGTAAGATTATTTGAATCTTAAATTATAGTTAATTATAGAATTTTGAAAATCAAATTGGGAAGTTTCTACGATTTTAAAAATACATAGAAAATTAACGAATTTGGTTTTCAAAATTCTGAACCGTACGTTTATAAAACAATTAAATAGGATTCTAACTAAAAAAAAAAATTTGTTTGGTTCTATTTGCTTCCTTTTCCAAGAATTTTTGAAAAATGATTTCCCATAAAAAAAAAACCATTAAATTTTTAACGCCATCTGCTGCAGATCGCCTGCACGATCAAAAGCTTACAACCATCCGTAACGTTTATATTTATAAAACCGTACACGTTTTATCACGTGACTGTATATTGCTTCATTTTGACGCTATTATTTGTAAGCACCATGTTAAAAATGTCGAATTTATTATATGTTTAACTTTATACATTAAAATTATTTTATGCTCATTAAAGTCTGAGTAATTATTGAATAAAACATTGGAGGTGGCAAATGTCTACCACTGCACATGGTCTACAATATCTAAATTGTGGTGACAACATAACGACTCTTATTGTTTAGTGCTTTGTTAAATATCTTTTTTCACTTTGTTTGCTTTTAACAAGTAATCTTTCAAATATTTCTTCTACATTAAGTTGCCGGCCTGAAAGAATTAAAGAATTTTGGACAATCCATTAATTCAACTAATCAACATAACTTTAACATTGTGTTTACTTCAGCCGATATTTTTCGTAAAAATAAAATTACATATAATGATTATAAAAATATCAGAAATATTGTTTTTAAAGAAGTTTTGGATGTACTGTACGTACTGTATACAAACTTGTAGTTTTTATCAACCGTACATGTTAAGACGATTAATGTAAGATTTAAATTATTGTATAATACGACGTAATAATAGACGACGTGATAGTACTATTGGTCGATGGTAGGGTGACCGAACGATTAAGGTAGCAGTCCGCAGCTCGGAGAGATCCGAGATCGACTGTGGACGGGTCGAAAATCCTAGGAATAATTCGGAGACGGTCGTCCGAATATGTCTGAGAGACAAGGTGTCGTTTGTTTCCTTCGAGTAAAGCTATCGGTTGTTGTTTTCCAAGCCTTAATTCTAGATATAAACGAAACGAACATGCAACGCACTCGTCTCTTGCTGAGGTGACGTATGGCAAATTCGGCCTACTCGGGTAACGTAAACATTGAGTCTGTGCGGATGATCGGATACATCGTTGTAAAAAGAAAATATTTGCGTCTCGGATATGTCTGACCTCGCCTCTCACCATCCGGCTATCTCATTGTGGGCCTGGCCAAACACATGATGGCTTGATGAAGAACAGACATATCTCTAACAGACGTTCTATGAAAAATTCCTGGAGACTTGCTCGCCCAGATTCGATTTCGGGTCTTCTAGCGTCTAGATCAGGGGTTATCAACTGGGTCCATGTAACATTACTGGGGGTCCACAGAAAAAAAAATACCGAATTGAGGTTCACGGTGATATTTTAGTGGTCTATAGGGTAATTCTACTTCAGAACAATTGTTTTATTGAAAATTAAATGTATACAGTATATTGTCAATTTATTTATTACTAATTTCTTGCATAAGGGTTAAAATATAAATTATTTAAAATATTGAATACGTAAACGACATATATATCTCATTGACAAAGGTCAAAGAGAGATTATAAAACCGGGGTCTGTTAGGATAATCTTATACCATCAGCGTCATGCCACTTGACAGTGACATTTCTGAACGTTTTGCGTCAGTTTGTTGCAGATCTTGAAGATTAGGGAGGGAGGCTAATAAACTTTATAGCCTCCTTCCAGTATAAAGGTAATCAATTTATTTTAACCCTAACCTTCAGTTCTGTGTAAAATTCCATCTTGACAAGGTAAGAGGTATTAAAAGTGCTAGTTCATTAATATAGTAGTTACTTTTTCTGAAATTCAGAGCTTCAGTATGAAAATATTTTTCCAATTTGAAACAATGTAACAAAAAAAATATAAGGTTTTTTTCTGTGCAATGTATGGGGGGCCCACAAAAAAATTAAGAGGAAAAAGGGTCTATGGGTAAAAAAAAGGTTGAGAGCCCCTGGTCTAGATTGACCCTGCTAAATAGCGCCATTTTGAAGCTGACCGTTTCGTCCACAGAATGGCTCTATTTAGCAGGGCCCTATATCGAGGTTTCACTGTATGTACATTTTCTGCTACTTGGCCATTCCGTGCCCTTCGTCGATATTCTCTAAACTCTTCAGTAGATTGGTTTTACTCCTGCAGTCTGACTCCAGACGGCAGGAGTAAAACCAATCTATTTCGATCAAGCCTGATCTATTTCTTAAAGTCAGTTTTCTTTTCATCTAGTTATCTATCCCGTCATCCACCGTCTTCATCTAAACACCAACAAAGTGGCTCTATTGGAACCTTCGGAACTGGGAGACGACTTCGACCTGCGCCAAGGTGAGCTCCAAAATAAATGACTACTTCCATCTCTTCCTGTTAAACTCATTCCTAGTCGTCTTTTTTTAGGCCTCTACACCGAGATCCACCGTTTTCAACCCCCTAACTTCGCCTCGGCCTCTCGCGCGGAGGACGATAGGGCCTGCATCTTCGTCGGCTTCGTGTGTCTGGAAAACGCCTTAGACAGCGTCCTAGAAGAGTCCTGGAAAGAATGGACCGGCGCCCGTCTCATGTACTCCAATCTCTCCCCCGACTTCTCCGTCTCCAGGTTGTCCTTTTATCGACGGATCGATCCGCCCGACCCAGACGTCTTCATGTACGTGTTACTGGTCGAGTGCGCCGACGTCACCTCTCGCAACATCTTCCGGTTGCTTAACTTTGTGCAGAAACTTAGAGTAGAGCGTGTTTTCGGTTACTTGTCCGTCTACAAGACGGAGTCGACGCTTCTCACCTCCTCGCTCATCAACGGGATGCTGATGGAGTCCGACGATGCCAACGGCAAAGTGGACATCTGACAATTAAACGCCCTTCTGACCCTCTTGACTCAGTGACCTCTGGGACGCTTCCGATTCCAGAGAGGGAAAACGCGTTTCATACGAAGATGACTCGTTCCAGATTTCAAACCTTTCATCGATTTCTTTGATTTTCGATTTTGTTTTTCTTGGGCCTACAGACGAACGATGAGACCAGCCCGGAATTCTTCTGCCTCTATTCCGACGCAATTGAGAACCGGAAAAGCGTAGGGATTCAAACGTGCACAAGTAAATGAACGTCATCTGATTATTCGAATCGATGGGTGAGACAGAAACGACGTCGGCCCTCCTGTCGGATCGAAGTTGAGAAAATTTTGGATTGTCGCTTCACCCGGCCAACTGACGAGAGTTGACAAGAGAGGATGGTGAGGAGAGTAAAAATGCGTTGGAAAGTCGGATGGAAAAAATCCCCGAAGAAATATTTTTTGCAATTTTTGCATTTACGGAAAAGCGAAAATAATTCTGTTTTTTCCATTGTTTGCATACATTTTCATCTAATCGCCTGTCTCGGACCAATGTTTCTGGCTTAATAAAAGCCGTGTATAAAACAATTGTAAAATAATATTTTTCTCTTCCGAATGTTCATTGACACTCGACCATTCTTATAGGAAGAGGCGTCTATAATTTTAATGGGAGGGGTGCGAATATTCTTTTAGGTTTCGGATGTCGCCGTAATATTGTTATTCGATACTCTTCGACGAATTTAATTTCAATTTTCCGAATTAAACGTCCCGAAAAAATCCTTTTCCATTTTAGATGAACATTTTGTAATTGTCAATAAATATTCCTCTTGTGAAAGATAAATTTTGTTAAACTTTAATACATTCTACAGCTTATCAAATTTTTGACAATATTCATGTAATCACTAATTATATTATCATAATCTTAAAATATATTAATTGTAGTGATAGTAATTTTAAACATTATTCGGATTTCTGCATTTTATGGAACATGACAAAAAATCTTTAGAATTTTCGAATTCTATTCATTTAACAATACAAGGTCTGTTCAAAAAGTATCGGACCTTTTTTTTCCCGCGTAAACCAATGATGCGAGAGAGGCCTGCTTCGGTGGAGTTGTGGAGGGGACAGTCATGCACAGCCCTGAATTTTTTCCCGCCTGCAGGAAGCGTCAGTCGCTGGCAATCGGCCTATGAGTGAGGTCATGTAGTGCGCTCTCGTCGGATTTCACTAAGCTGGAAAATGACTGAACAACGTGAGCAGCGATATTACATCAAATTTTGCCAAAAACCTTGGCGATACCCGAGTGTAAACCATTCGCAAGATTCAGCAGGCTTTCGGGGACGATCCTGGAGGCCAAAAAAAGCGCGGCAGGCCCGCAGCAATATCAAGGTCATGTTGACAGTTTTTTCGACTCTCGTGGGGTGGTATATTGTGAGTACGCACCACAAGGCCAAACCATCGCAAAAGAGTACTACCAGAAGGTCCTTCGTCGTCTTTCCGATGCTGTGCGACGCAAACGATCGGATCTGTGGTCGATCAAAACTTGGCAGCTCCATTGTGATAACGCATCCGCCCATTCTGCGCATCTGATTCGAGCTTTCGTCGCCAAACACAATACTCCTGTGGTTCGTCACGCTCCGTACTCTCTCCACATGGCTCCGTGTGACCTTTGGCTATTTCTCAAGCTGAAAATGCCGCAAAAAGGAACCCAAATTTAGTCGAGAGAAGACATCATGCTAAATGCGACGGACCGGCTTATAACCATTCCAAAAGATGCGTTCCAGCAGTGTTTCCAGCAATGGCAGGAACGCTGGGAGAAGTGTATACATTACCAAGGAGACTACTTTGAAGGGGATTAGGGTTTTGTACCTCAAAGTCAATAAATTTATTTTTGCCGACCAAAGGTCCGATACTTTTTGAACACACCTTGTATATATAGGCCTAATTCAAACTGTTCGAATTAACGCACGTATTTCCTAATTTATTGCAACTGCCCTACCAATTTCGGACAAAATAATGGGAAAAACTCAGGCAAAGCAAAAATAATAAAAAAAGAAAATTCAGACAGAGAAAGCAAAAAAGTTAATAAATTATCATTGATGGCAAATAAAATTGATACTTGTATAAAATTCGGGAAAAGCAACTAGCTCTGCCCCTTAACCAAGTATTCCCGTACACCTCCATGTTTGTTATACAATAAATATCAATATTTTGGAATTTTTAAATTTAAGTAATTATATAAAAATAATGAATATTTTGGAAAAAATTCAAAATTACTTTTTCATTATACTTACTCGAATTTCATATCCTGCTGTTTTAAATGTAGGTTAAGTATTAACGTTTCCAATTCAAAATACACCCAGGTATTACTTCTTTAATTGAAATTCACTTTGAAATAACAATCATCAAATAAAATATTTGTCATAAAAATAATGTAACATATTTTTCTATAAAAATAAATTACAGAGAAATTATAAATAAAATAATATTTTGAAATCAATAGATAACTTTTATTTATATTGTTTTTCACTTTCATTATGTGAATGAGTTTGTGTCTCTACTTCAAAATACTCGGAATGTATAAATTCGAACCATTATTTACAATTTATTTAATAGAAAATTGTTTCGTTTCTATTGTCTTCAGAATTTATACCGATAACAGATTTCGTTGCTGATTTATTTAATAATAATTTAACCTTTAATATACGTCAATTAACACAAATGACTGAAAAAAGAATTGAGCAAATAAATTGAAAATTTGCGTAGTAAAAGTGATTTTAGTCATTTGTGTTAATTTACGGATATATTTCGCGGTTGCAGTAAAAGAAATAAGGACTTTAATTAATATCCAATAATTTTGTTAAACAAAAATAAAGTTTTTGTCATTATAATTTTTTAAGTTTTTAATTTGTTTTTTTATTCATATCAAATAATTTTAATTAAAGCTTATATTGCAAATATTAATACGGCATATTTATTATTTATCATCACCAAAACACTCGTAACAATAAGTTTTATTGAAAGAATAATTTCCAATCGATTCAAATAAAAGTAATCAAATAAAAGTTTTAAACAGAACTAATTTAAAAACAATTTTTTGTAATTTCTATAAACTGCTAATTAAAACAAAGCACTTAAATTGCACTCTCGTGTTCTTATAATGATTTTGTTTGACAGTTCTACACTTGTGCCGATGGCATTATACACAAGTTAATTATTAAATTTTGATCAAGTAAAATAAAAAAAACAAAAACGCGCATTTAATTTAAATTTACAATCGACAGTAAAAAGGTCACACAATAACGATTTTTACTTTTCCGGCTGTTATATACAACGAAGGGAAAATATGGCGATCGATCAAAAACTAACCCTCGAAGATTTTTACATTTTTGGACTTGAGACACCTTGAAACGTCGAGAAATGCACAAGAATTAGGGAGTAATTTCTGTATGTATGGATGTTAGTGTGAGGGTGCACGATTTTATTCATCCTGTTAAAAGTTTAATAACTCCTGTACTTTCGAAAATTTTTGAAATTTTGCAGAGAGATTTGTATATTAGGGATTGATGTTATTAAATTTTGGTGATTAAAGATCGAGGGGGTAGGAGATAAAGGAGGTCTTGTTGGAAAAACGGAATCGTGTAAATTTTAACAAGATTTCATTACTTTTCCTTGTTATGTATACATAATAGTAGGATATTGGAATATATGTACTGTACACAGTATATATATATATATACACTTAAAAAACTTGAATATCTGGAACTCTTTCAAATATATACTGTGTACAGTACATATATTCCAATATCCTACTATTATGTATATAATACTATATATTATATATATAAGGTTATATAACTATAACCTTAAAATCTCAAATATCTGGAACTCTGAAACAACTTGCTCCACAGCTTGCTGCAGCACTGTGAAGCAATTTGATGGGGCAAATTGTTTAGTTGGGCAGTTGGCAAAATCAGACATGCAAAATATTGAGAGAAAAAACAATAACGTATCGTTTGAATGTCACGAAATTGACTTTATGAATATTTGCAGATTTTTCTTTCCTTAATATTATTTGTTGTTTTCTGATATGAATCTATTTTATTGATTCTTTATGGGTTTATCTTTTATGTTCGTCCCATTCTTTATACAGAACCCCGAAAACAATGCCGTGTCAAAGAGCGAAGTTACAATGTAATGTTACGAGCTGTGGGGCTCGGGATATAAATTCAGAATACAGTTTACCGAAACTGACACTCTTTAGATACACTAACAACAAAAACGTTATATAACTCGTTAAAAGAAAAACATCTCCAACGTTCTTTTTCTTCCGAATCGTTCTTTTTTTTGAATCATTCTTTTTTATTTCGCCACTCTCCACACCATGGCGCTAGTTTCCCCCGGAGCCGGCGCGACAGTAATAATACCTAGTTCGAGTCATAACAATAGAGAGGTTGAGGCGCACGTTTTAAACGTGTAAACGTGTACGTGTGACGTTCGGCGCCGCTTTCCCGTAAGCCTAAAAGTTTGACAATGGTGTTTGGATAGTCGGTGGAATCACGCTCGACATTCCAAACACCATCGTCAAACTTTTAGCCTTACGGGAAAGCGGCGCCGAACGTCACACGTACACGTTTACACGTTTAAAACGTGCGCCTCAACCTCTCTAATTAGTCCCGAGTGTCGCTTTTATCTTTAACCTAGTTCTATACGTAAACTAACAAACTGCTTTTCGTTAACCAGGAATTTATCCTTTCCGTACCGAATACATAAATTATGTAAGCGATCTAGGCGTTATTTTTTTATAGTAAATTTTGTTTCAAAACTCATATTGAAAGAATAGTTAAATCAAAATCCCTTTCCGTTCGATGTGGAATCCTTTGGAGATTTTGTCGTTCGATATCTTCTGAAACTGCTTTACCTTCCATTTTCTTTGCTAATTTTCAATCGCTTATTGATTATTGTATACCGATCAAGTCGACGGTTACTCTTTCTTTGTTAGAGAAAATCACAAAAGAACTAAATAAAATATACCTAGCCTTAAATAAATTCTGTAATTTACATTTTACTAGCCACCCCAATACCCGTTCGCACTGATCATTTCAATCTAGATTGCGATCAAGGTTGGCAACCTCTCCCGACTAAAACGAGGTTGAACTCGTGATGGACTCAAGAGATCCCACAATCCCATGCGCGCGAGAAAAAAACAAGATGGCTGTGGAACACGTGTCGGGCTATGAGCAGAGATAAAAAGGATATTTGGAGAGACGATGAGATCTGGCTATTAGATATATGGCAAGAAAAAGTATTTATTTCTAACTAAAACTTTCATTTCTTTTTGGTTGGTGTTCGTGACTTATCAAGTAGTTATGAAGGTTTTATTATCGTGTGCAATAGTCGGGTCCTTCTCAAGCGGACTGCCTGTGCGAACAACTTGACGTTCCAGTTGAAACAGTTGCAATGGAGATTAGTGGATTGTGTGCGAACGCGATATAACGTTACTAGGTCCAGATTGGGTTTTCCTTCATTTGCTAATGGCATAAAATATTTTGATTATTATATCAGAGTTATTATAAAATTCTTCATCTTTTTTTTGTATTTTATACTATATTCTTTTAAAATTGTATTTTAATTATTTCGTCTATCATCGTTTTGTATTTTATTTGGAGTCTAAATGTTAACTAGGGGAGCAATCTATTGTCGCAAGACTTTTCCTAATGTGATTGAATAAATAAAATATAAACAAACTGACTGATGGGTAAAAGTGTGAAATTAAAGCTAAATAGTAACATAAGTATTCACAATAACGGCAACATACTTCCAGACCTTTAGCCAAAGTAAATTATATTTAGAACACAAAACCTTCACACTTTTAGTACCTTGCCATTACAAACCTCACTTTTCACATGATAAATGCTATTCAACGAGGCGTGTACACCAGTGAGGTGCTGCACCTAGCAGAAACTGTCGAAAACCCATCGTAACAACTCCAAATAATTATATTTTTATTACATCTGAAACTATAAAAGAAATTTGGCCACCGATACCCGAACGATTCCTATTAATTTGTCGCTAGCAACTAAGTTGGGAACTGTCATTCTATATGTAAGAATAATTAAACTCTGAATGGAATAATTGGGCGAGGTTTCTCTAAAAAAAGCAAAGCTATTTATTTTTCTTCGCTCGTTGTTAATCTAAAATCAGTATTTCTTCATTTATAATAAATTTAACTTTTTTAAAAATAAGTACAAAGTATGGTACATCTTTGTAACGCAATACTCCATTTTTACTCATTAATAAAAACAATTTTAAAAAAATCAAACGAATTATCGGAGTCTAAGATTTATTAAAATTTAAAGGTTTACAATGTTTTTTTTATGTTGATAGTCTCCAAAGTTCTACAACAACGCGGAATTAGCTGCTCCAATTTACAATTCAAACAAGAATTTTAATGTTTAAATTACAAATATACAATGTTTTGCATAAGTTTAAAATAGTTTCAATTTAAACTTCAACTAAAATAAATGGAATAAAACACTTTAAAAGAAAATGTTAAACAACACATTTGCCATACATTACAATTCCACGTGAACAGATTAAAGTAGGAAGCTACAGAAGTACTTAAAATAATTAAGTACAATTATTAATCGGAGATTCCTTTCAATGAGAAAAATGCGCTTTCTTGTGTAATTCCGTCCTAAAACAGTTGACTGGAATGCATTGACTACACTTAACGACGGACGTTGCTGGAATAAATTATAAACTTCCGACATTGTTAAATCTCTTCAACTTTTCTGGAAAATTGTCTTTATACAGAACGGGATCGGCTCGGAACTCGACCGATTTCAAAGGCATCACTCCGTAAATCTGTGCAAATTTGTTAATGCACACCGTCCTTTCGGCCATATGAACGATATCTGCTGATAACATTTCGACGTTGGTGCACTCAGGACATTTGAACTTTTTTCGAGGAGTCACTTTGATGGGTGCCTTTCCTGTCATGTTTCCCACCAAGAAATTCATCGCAATGTCTTCGCAGTTCATGTGTTCGTCTACCCAGCTTTTTATGTCTCCCGGCATGGCCGTGGTATACAAATAACTGTAATACTGTCATTTATAAAACGTTATTAACTATATTAACGTTATCGTTATATATATATATATATATACATACATACAACACAAACTGTAAAACTGATCAAAAGAAAAGAAAAACAAAATTTAATAATTAAATGATATAAATTGTTTCAAATTAAAGTAAAACAAATGCACTCGATTTTAATTTATAATAAACAACATTGAAATTTCATTTTTTATTAACATTCTCCAATATTCTTCTAATTATTACAATTTCAACGTTAAAAACTCCAAATTATAAACTTTAGACGAATTATAAACTGAAATAGGTTTGAAGATTTAAAAACCCAATAAAAATGTTGGGTTTTTAAATAACCAAAATGAATTTATTTGTTAGAAGAAACAACGAAGAATTTTTATTTCCAAGTAGAAACGATTTTCCTAAACGTTGTAAAATATTTTGCAACTAAATAAATTTTATGTCCTAAAGATTTTATCTTCTCGTGTTTTCATAGCTCATAATTTTTAATTTCAAACCAGTTATTAAATTCCCAAGACGTTCGTTCTGCATCATCATCTCCCTTCAATATTTTCCTTTCAATAATATACCAGTTAAATTATTATGCCTTAATTTATGTCTAATGAATTTTTTCCTTCTTTGAGCAGTGTCATAACATTCTTTTATCATTTACTTTTTCAAAAATAGTGAGTTTAATTTCTTTTTACGAGATCTGTATCTTGCCCTAAATCCATGTCTCCATTTCTTCTAAGCCTCAAAAGTTCATTCACAACGTGAACAAAAATAACGCAATGTGAAAAAAACCACTTATTGTCGTAGAGTCGTCTATCGCAGTAAGTAGTCCCTGCTGGCATCTTGGTGTCCCTCCAATATCAATGGGATTGCAACATAAAGAGGAATGAATATCTAAAAAAATAGCTATATTTATTAGTGTTGCAACGAATAGTATATTCGTCCAGGAGCGTGGCCGAATAGCCGAATATTCGGCTCGATTAACGCACGTACGAAAATTGGCGAGCAAACCACATTATGGCAAGGACCCTGCTCTCTATTGGCCCACTGTCACTACGCTTCGCCAATCGCGTTAATTCTTGACAGTTCAGACAAGAGCGTCATGGCTATATGTGATAAATGATAAGTGATGATATCAGATGTGGATAACAATGAAATTACCTACACGTGTAAATAACGGAAGAAGAACAGAGAAGAACCGCAAAGTGAAAATGTGAAAATAAATATGAAATTGAGTTGATAACATAATCGAACAAGTCGAGGCAGCTTACTGGCCCGAAATTCGCGGTCGTGAATGCCAAACAATTGTTGTCATAGACTTCGGAAAACTAAATGCTTGTAATGAAAGTCACTTAGCGTGCATGGGCGAAAGCCTGGGGTCGTTCGGGCTACCAAGCTGTTTCGAATCTGTGAAATCATAACTGTGACTTATACCGACGTCCTATCTGTCTCTTTTCTCCATTATCACCAGGCTATGAGTCACGTAATTGTAAAATGGGAAATCTACGACGGAAAAGTGACGAATCGAAAGTATCGTGAGGGCGTATTATGATGTATGCATAGGCATACGTGGACTAAGCGATAGAGGAAAGAGAAAGGAAAGAGCAAAGACGAGCGCTTAAAAAGAAGGATAGGCAGGGTCAGACCCTAAGATGTGCGACGATTCTCGAACGAATAGATGTGTACGTGTGCTGATCTTTGTAATTATAAATTGTGAATACAAGTGACTAATATTATGTTCTTTTTTATTTTGTGTATGTTATAAGTTAAATACAATGGAACCTCGACTATCCGGATTGTTGAAAATAAACAAAAATTTTACGAATTTGCTGATTTGCACTTGGCGAATTACGATACTGTTTATGTACGTGATAGAATGCATAACTTTTTTTGTTTCAACAACGTCTTACCCAGCACAGAGGTCGTAAACTCTTACATTTATTTTACGTCGTAATAAAAATATAACTTGACATACGTATTTATAAATAATTTATATTCAAATTATATCATTTCTATGACCAAGGGCGGCGTAAGGCATGAACAACATGGGCCACCGCCCATGCCTCGCGCCTCGAAGATTTATGCATTACTTAAAAGCCGCGAACGCGACGAAAAAATTTTACTCGTCATAAAACGATAAATAGTTTGTCAAATTTTTATTCATAAAAATGCAGTTTCAACTGCTTTTTATTTTATAAAATCCGTCGTCTTGCGCCACCAGAGGGCCTTTTAAACAATAGGTAGTCTGTTAGCGTTGGTTAGTAGTAGTCCAAATTCAATACAAACATTTGTTTCTTGAAAATTTGATCACGATTTAAATACAGTATTTATTTTTAATATTACCGATATGTCCAGGGCCGCAGTAAGCGGGCGTGCAAGGCGTGCACCGCACGCGGGCGGCACGTCCAGGGGGCGGCAAAGAGCCTTTCTGGCAAGCTCAGCATAGGTAATCGTAGTTAAACAGGGGGCGGCATAATCGGTATTGCACACGGGCGTTCAAACAGCTAGCGGCGCCGCTGGATATGTCATCGAAAAGAGAGTGTGTTGTATTATCATTAAAAGACAAATTAAAGTATTTGTTTCGATTATCCGAATTTTTCCGTATCCGGACTACCTTCTTCCCCCATTTGTCTGGATAATCGACGTTCTACTGTATAAACAAACAACACTAACCCGATAACATTAAATCTAAATACCAAAATGATTAATTTACTGTGTTTTTGTTATTTCTTACTCCTGTTTTTAGGTATTCGGTATTCGGCCGAATAGTGATTAAATATTCGGTATTCGGCCGAATAGCGAAAAATAGGCCGAATACCGAATAGTAACCGAATATTCGTTACATCACTAATATTTGTTTTAAATAATCATTTGCTGAAATTTATAAATGGTGGTAAGTCTAAAGGATTGAACTCTTGGAAGTCTAAAGAAAGGAACTCTTGAAAATTTTGTGTGATCGCTGTATTTTGAATACATGACAATCCATTGTCTGCCACTTGACTGCCTCCAAGACCCACTAGTGGCTGAGTAGATAAAACCTCCAAACATTGGTAGTTGGGTTGTGGGTTCATGCCTCACCAACGAAGAATGACGCTCACATGAAGATAACTCCACGCAATCAGCTTGGAGTTTCTTTGCATCTAACACTTAAATAGAGGAACGGCAGATGGTCGCGTGGTTAAGGTGGCAGCATACAGCTCTGGAGCCTGGAATCGAATCCGGATGGATTGAAAAATTCCAGAATTTTTTTGGGAGTGTCCTGTATACAGATATGTCCTGTCTCTTACCATCCTGTCACTCCACTGTCAGTCTGGTCGAAGCCATTATGAGTTCAACCGATCTTTAATATCATGACCAAACTCGAGTGTTCAAGCTCGGGCTAGATATCATGTCACACTTATAAGGTCACACTACACTGGTCTCCCCCAATGATTTTCATGAATTTCAGTACAAAGATAGTATTTGAAATGATAATACTGTCACCCAAACAATTCATTCATTTATAGGCCATAATGAGCGAGTTATGACATAGAATGTGATACTACTACTCATTGCAGATGAGTAATACAGTAGTTTGAACATGTGTGAGCTGATCTTGAGAAGGAACATATTAAGGCAATTAAAGGAAATTATTCAAATTTAGCAGTTGCTGAGCATTGTAATAAAGAAGGATGCGAGATTCATTTAAATACAGTAAAAAGAAAGAAAAGGATTTAAAAGACAATTATTCAAACATATTTATATAAAAAAACAAGGTAATAGAATTAATAATTTAGGAAGAGAAATTCACCAATCATGGAATAGCATCATTTATAGAGGGAGTAATGTGTAGAAAGGCAGTGGTGTGTCGACCATGGAAGCTGTGGAAGCACCACTTCCCTTTTATTTTCTAAAATATAAATACATATTGTGCAATTATTTTCATATTTTAACATACTTTGAATTAATTAAAATTAATATTTTATTATAACTGCATTATATATCTTATTACAAATTTGTATACTATATGTGAAAAAAATGATAAGATTGCTATTGTATATTCAAATATAAATTTGTATAAGCATATTCCCAATGGAAGTGCCATATTGTCAAATATGGGATAGCTTCCACGGCCAAAATATTTGAATCATGTATAAAGGCATTCGTGCATGTGCTTTACAGAGCACCAACCTCATGCAGTTTAGCTAGTGGATGTTACACACCAAAATATCGTATAATGTTTCCAACGATTCTATCCAGGGCCGGCACAGCTTCTCTGTCATCAAGTGTCACCTCATGCCACTGAAGAAAAGTATTTAAAAAGGAAGTGAAAAGGGAAAATATTTTAGAAACAGGATGTAAGTCTAACTGGGATAAAATAACCAAGCTACATAGATATGAGTAAAGGCATTTTTTAAACAATTTTTAAGAAACAATTTAAATATTAAACAGATTTTATCTTTTTATACAGGCATTATGTTAAGAACTCTTTTATAGATATATTGTCTTTTATAGATATTTTGTCTGTATTAGTGTATTGATAATAGACAATAAATAACCTGTGAGTAATTTTGTATATTTTAACCATCAATGTCGGATACTATATTTTTGTTTTTAAAAAATTTGTTATAGAATATTATTGTAAACTGCTGAAAAGGGGCCTTCAGGTTCAAAACAAACAAACAATGTACAGGTAAAAATAAACATATTTTGTTTTGTTTTTTAACTAAAATCTCCTCTACTTGTAATTGGAAACTACACCAGTGTAATAACTCCTATTAATAAACAAGGTCCAAGTAGACAAAGATACAAACAGAGACTGATAACAGTAAGGATATAGAAGTAAAAATTTAATACCTTATGGTAAAATGCTGCACCAGTCAATACCATAGATATTTCATTTGTCCATTCTGATTCATACTTCCATTTCCGCGTATTATTATCCCACAGGTGAACTCTCGAAGGAAATCCTACAATCCTGTCTGGAAACTCCCGCCATACCTATAAATTAAAATTATTATTTCTATTATTTTCCAAATTTTATTTTTTTAAAGCATTTCTTAAATGAAATTTCTAAATTTAAATCAAATTTACCTCATAACCAAATTCAAGTTCATCTGCAGTTAGCATAATGATATCATCATCAATAGCAAGAATAGCTTCTGTTTCAATTTCATCATAAGGATAAAATCTAAATAAAATAATTATGAGAATAAATTTTAAAAAGTAAACCTAAAAGCAAATATGAAAACAAACTGATCCATAATCAAAATTTAATATATATTTTTATATAAACATTTTTTACAATATAATTTTCTATTCTTAAATTATGTAAAGCATTCAAAGAAATTAACATATTTTAAAAATTATATAGAACAATAAGTTAACAATTTGAGTTTCTGAATACTTTAAATTTCTTTGCATATATGTAAAATTTTAAATAGTAAACTTTCAAATAAATATTTCTCAAAAAAATATGTCTTTAGAGCATTTTTTATTAAACTGTCAGAGCTACACCTAATTCACCTATTTTTGATTGTCTTAGGTGCAGTCTTGCCTCAATGTTCAGTAGGTGTTTTATTCCAATTACAAACAACAGCTTTTTCTTTGTTCTTTTTTAAGATTAGATTGCTGTTGACCCAATGTTAAAATTGTTCACAATTTTTTGCCAGCTTACATCTTTATCCAGTTGTCTGATGATTTCTATTTTCACAGTTACATTCAGTTCCAAACATTTTCTTTACACGCCTTTTCCATTTATCCCACATTCATTTTCTACTTTTTGCATGATTAATTTATGTTGTATAAATGGTAGCATCACCATTAAGCAGAATCTGACAATTGCTGTTGATGACTAGTAGTGCAAAAAGTTTGGTTTTGAGAAAAATTATGTTTCCTAGAAATTGGATTGGTAACGCTGAGTACCTCAAGTCAAAAAAAAAAAATTGCATATACTTTAATAACAATCAAAATATATTTTTTTTTTCCCTTTTTACTACATAAAAAAAATAATAATAAACAAAAAATTATATTTATTCATAATAAATATAAATAAAAGTTATATTATAAATAACATTTATTAGGATCAATGAGAAGGATGAAATTGTTTATGGTGAGATGACAGTTCATCATAATTTGGTTCCTAGATATAGCGATATGGACTTTAGGTCTCATTTAGGTCTTTCTAGAAGCATTGTCGAAGTAAGTCTCTGCTAAGAATTGTTAGTTGTAATAACTATCTACAGAAAAATTGCTTTATTCAACATTTTTAGCTTTTTATTAATACTAAAGCACATAACAAACCTTTCCTATTAGAAAAATCGCACAAAAGCTAAAAATACACACGTGCACACTGTAACAGTTCAATGTGTAGATACTGGAGGTTTCTGTATGACACTATTGTCTGGGCCATAGGGTGGAGGAATGCATAGAATCACAGTGCCTGGCAAAACCATTAACAAGTAATGAAGTTTTTTATTATTTTTCTATGTTTGTAATCGAAAAAAAGTAAACTGCCTGTTGCACCAGGCACAGCCAAAGTGTGGTGCCACACTTACCCCCACTAAACTCTTCCCATACCCCTGGGGGTATGCGTACCACACTTTGGGAAATATTGGTCTAATCCAATGTTTCCTGAAGTTGCTCCTACAGACCTCTGGGGTCCTTAAAACTGCTGATGTGGTCCATGGCAAATTAAAATTAATTTTGGTATGCATGAAGAATGTCAGGGGGGTCCACGAGAGGTTTAATAAAAAGTAAAATGATTGTGACCCATTTTCATTATTACGAAAGTTAAAAATAAATAGTAATAAATAAATTGGTAGTCATTTTTAAGTCCTAACATAAATGTTTGTTCTGTGATTAAAGTTATTGCTGGAAAAGTATGAATGGTGTGATTTTTTTTTGATTTTATTGTCAAATCTCAGATTGTTTATCCAAAAAAATTGTTAATTAAAAAACGGGCACGCTTTAGCTAGTAATTTCAATAAATATTACTTTAAATATCAAAATTGTTATATTTATATTTTATTTTTATGTTACCAATCACCATTCCAGTGATAAATTTGTATTTGCTATTATATAGTTGTGTACAGTTATTTCACTGAGGTTCATGGTCAAGTTTTTTCTATGAGAAGGGGTCCATGGGCATAATAAGTTTGGGGACCATTGGTCTAATCAATTACAATTACTGATTTTGCTAAATAAATGATATCTGGAGTGATTTGAGAATAACACAAGTGACTGAAGATCAACTTGCAAATGATTGGCACTACTGTAGAGGGAAGCATTTTATGGACACTGCTATGCAGACTTCATGAGGAATAAATTCCTGTTAAAAAATTATGAATATCAGATAATGTTTTTAAGTCCAATCTTGAAAAATATTTGCACAATGTTCAACAATTGTGGCATAAATATGATCATTGAGAAAAATGACTTTTCTCAATCACATTGCTCGATCCCTCAATAAACCTTCTGACATATAGCAATGTACTGTACCTTACATGACCACACCCTTCACCTTTGCTTCAATTTCCATTCAGAGTTTTCAGTGCACCACGTGTCCAAACAAATTCTGATTTGTGAAATACTAGATGCTGGATTATCATCAAACAATTTTGGATTAATGACTACTTTTCAGAGAATGAAGGTTTAACAGACATTCTGGATTATCAGATGCTAAATTAACAAACTTTATTGTATTTATGGATTAGTGACCCTAAATGGTACCAGTCAAAAAACAAACTACATACTTTGGCTTGCCAAATTAAAATCAATAACAGCTATTAGAAAGTATGATGTGTTTGCCATAATGTAAAGCATACTTTCTTCTAACAGCCATTATTGACTTTATTCTGCAAGCAAGAGCATATAGAGCTTACCTTCTCTTCAGTTATCATCATTTTTAGAGTTATTAACAGGAGATGCAAATAAAATAAGTTAGTTCTAAATGATAAAATTATTATATAAAAATTTTAAAATTTAGACTCAATTATTTACTGCACAGTTTTGACATTTGTGCATTTTTAGTTATTTTTTAAATAACAATAAGACAATGAGAAACTAAAGAACAAAACTGCACATAGACTTTTTGATCATCCTGTATAATTTTGTTATACTATAATTTAATGCAAATTAACTGCAGCTTATCTGTGTTTAAAGGAAATTTAAACACAGAAAGGCAATAATGTCCTCTTGTGATGTAACTTTCATTTCTCTGACAAGGTTCAAAATTATTCTCAGAATACAGTTTGTTATGTTGTGTGATGACTGTTATACTTGGAGGTAATTTGGTTATCTGTCTGTAAGTGCAATCTTAACTTTCCACTTTATTCAGGTTAAGTTACATTCTTTGTACTCAGAAAACTCTTCCATTTCTGCATTGAACAGGTTTTTGACATATAATAAAATTTAACATAGGAAAAAAAAAATACACTTTCTAAAGGATTTTTCCATTTAGACAGGTTTCCATTTTAGAACCTGAATAAAATGGAAAAAATTTGAACAGGTTTTGCTGTATTAAATTTATTTTCTGTATGTCAGACAATTCACTTTTAGAATGAAGAGTCAAAACAATTTCTTTAACTGTATTTTAAACAAAACATAAATTTCCTATTAAAAACAATAAGAATTTAAATATATTACCTGTTACTTAATTTATTTTCTCGTGTTTGAACTACTTTTAATGGTTTATTTATCTTGGGCCACATAGATGCTACACAAAAATTATAAATAACATTTAATAAAATAATTATTTTTGTAATGAATTTCAAGAGTAATTATTACCAGGTGGTGGTGGTTTCTTTTGATTATTCCAAACAACAAGAACTTTAGATAAACTGGGGGCTTGGACTACTTTCAAAATAACTTGAAACAGGCTTTCTAACCTGTCATATGTTAATATAACAGCTGTAAAACCTTGAGACTTTGGTGCAATAACAGGTAGAAACAGAGGAGCAGAAACACCAAACTGTAAAAAGAAATTTGATCTTAAATGTAACAAGTAAATTATCAGAATAAATAAAATCATTGTTTACAAGGTCAGAAAGATTAATATTTCAATATTAATTAAACCAAAAAGTTTAAATTTATGAACTATAGCTTTTAAGAATTCCACAGACAATCAAATTAATAAATTATGTAGTAATACATTACTTTGCTTAAAAATTAATTTAAATTTAGGAGAAGTTATATCATTTGATTTTTATTTTGTTGCTGATAAATAATCTATTCTATTGAATAATAGGTTAATAAACAAATTTTAAATTAAATGATACATTATGAGAAATACAAAAAAAATATAAGTTTCATAGAAAAAATTATGCATTGATTTACATTTTAATACATCAGTTTATCAGATGCTAAAGATTTATTCAATTAAAGTATTATTAAGTTATGTAAATTTGTTCAGATGTTTTAATTTAAAAAAAAAGTAAGATAATGCTCATGTATCTTAAATAAAAAAACATCTCTAATTATTTTTGCACTATTTTCTTCCATATCTGTTACCATCTTTTGGATACTTTGCAAATTCCATTAATGTAAACATTTTTCTTTGTCTGTCAAAAATGCATCATCAAAATCCAAATAAATATTTTAGATACATTTTCAAATAGGAAATATTTTTCTACTCAAACTATTAGAAGTTAAACCAATGGTGTTCCAAAATAATATCTTCATATTTATTACTATAAAAAAATTATTTTGTATATACAGTAAAACATGTGTAAAGTGGAATCACACTAGTACCAAATACTTTTTTCAGTTTGGTAGGTTTCCATTTTAAACAAGTATTTTTTTAACATAAAAAAATCACTCCATTCCAAAGAATTAATTCCATTCTATTCAGGTTTTACTGTAGTAAATCCTAAAATATTAAAATTAAAATATTCAATTTTATTAATTTTAAATTATAATTTTTGCTGTTGTTATTTATTTAAAAATTTTATTTAAAATGTAAAAAAATATTCTATCTGTATGTTCAATGCTAAAGATTGCCTAAACTACCTTGAAAATGGTTTGTGGCTAAATTATTTTTTGGTAAAAATGTAGTAGTGTTTTTTGAATTAATTAATATATTATAAAGACAAGTTTTGAATTATTTTAAATATAATTTTTCATTTCAACAAAAACCTTAACTTTTTGTTGAAATGAAAAACTGTATTTTCAGATTGCTTAATCTATGTTTTCAGTTTCTCTGTTGTTTTTATTTGTTATGATTGCAAAGTTTGACTATTAAAATTAACATGAATCATAAAAATAATGTACCTTTCTAGGAAAATCATTCCATTCTTCATATGTATGAGAGACATGTGGAAAAACTCTGTCATTTATTATTTTTAACGTTGTTTTTACAATATTACTAATACTGCTAAAATACTTTTCCCACAAAAAACAGCATTGCCTTCTCATTTCTGAAATATTTTCATCAGAAAATCCTTTCAAAATATGCATCAACTGTGGCAGATCATCTTCATAAATGAAAACAGCAGCTCTAATTTACAAAAAAAAGTTACTTTGATATAATTAATTTTAAAAAATACATACACTATTTTAATAATAAAACATTTTATATTAATATTGCTTAATTTTATTTAACTTTTTCATAGCATTTTTAAAATACAGTAGAGTGTTGTTAATTCAAAAGCTGATCAACCAAAACGTCGGTTAACTGAAAGCGTTCCAGTCGGACTATGTCATGCTGAATTGAATGTTTTTGATACTAGATTAACTTCCAAAATATAATTTTTTTGTTTTTATATTTTTCAATATATTTATTTTTTTTGTAGAAAATAAAGAAATAATTTTTAACAATACAATAGCCACAATACAAATCTAAATTTTTATGTTAAACTTAACATTGACGAAAATTCAACGCAAAGCAACACACAATGGAGAAAAATTTCAACATGGGATAGGTTAATCGATTTTTTCGTACATAACACAGGTCTGCAAAAAATATTTTTTTCCAGCTGCATGGGATATTTTTGCTGAATTATATGTTTTAAGGATTGGAGATGATAAAAATGACTTCTGTAACATCCCATCACATATAGGTTTTTTTGCAAAATAAAAACAAATTTTTTGATAAAAACTCTTATTTATTATAATGAACTAAATATTTTATATTTTATTACAACTAATCAAAATATGTTTCTGATATTTATACCCAATTTTAGGTCTACTCTTTTTTCTTATGACATCTTTTCTTCTCTTTGATGCTTCTCCGAACTCGTTTCCGATTTCCTTCTCTGGTTTCTTGATTGAGCATCCAATAGTAGTCAGCTAACATATTGACATCCCATTTTCCTTGGTAACATCTCTCGATATCTCAGATATCCTGGTGAAATCTTTTGCCCTGTTCTTCACTGTAGGCTCCCAAGTTTTCGGGAAAATAGTCAATATGGAAGTTTAAGAAATGAACTTTTAAGCTCATCTTGCATCCTTCAGCTTCATACACTGCCAGCATGCGTTGCACAATGGTTTTGTAGTCAGGGTCCTTAGTATTCCCCAAAAACTTATGCACTACATTCTTGAAAGAGTCCCATACTTCTTTTTCCTTTTTTCCCATTATTTCCAAAAACAGGGGATCAGGTAAAGGGGATGTTGACTTTTCACTGAGTATTCACTACAAACATAACAGAAGCAGTTGGGAAAAATTACACAACCTCTGCGAGCCATATTCCAGAAATAAAATTACAAGCACAGTAGCATTTGAATGCTGGATATAAACTGAGTGTGGCATTAGATGGCCAGTGAGATACTGAACTTATTTAGCTTGTTGAAACATGATCTAATCCAACAGCAGGTAGCAGGTTGTTTATATTTATTCCTAGAATCCCAGATAACATGTTGAAACATGCTCAACCTCACCAGTAATATTACTCATTACCAACTTTTAACCTGCTTCTACATGATCATGAGACCTTCCTCCTAAAGCTGAAACTACTTAACCCACCTCCCCCTACCACTATTCTCTTCAACCATTAACATTTACTTTTATTTATTGCCAAGTCCAGCTATAATTGATAGAATTAATGTGAGAAGTCTTTGTTTTAAGGCCATTTTTTAAATAAAAAAATTTTAAGTTAACTAGGAATTTTACACTAAATACAGTCGACCCCCCTATAACGTACGTTCCTATAACGACAATTCCTATAACGTAGCGAAAAAATTGTAGCAACTTTCGTATAACGTACCTCCTATAACGTCGTTTCGCGACAAGATTGATAGAGTCTGGACCAATAGTGGATGAGCAGCCGAACTACTTTCCTCCGACCCTGCGCCACGCTACGGAGCGGCTAAATTGAGTTTGCTATCGTCTGTTTAGTATTATATATAAATTATATATAAATTAGGTACTGTACATATAATTATATATTAATTATATATAAATTAGGTACTGTATATATAATTATATATTAACTTAATTTATTGTAACTTTATTATAATTATATATATGCTTTCTGCCGCCTGGCAACACGCTACGGAGATTTTAGGCTAGTAAGTTGAGTTTATTATCGTCTGTACAGTATGTAAATTAGGTACCGTAAGTCTAATACAGCACTAATTTTATACATTTCTTGTGAAAGAAACACTTCTTATTCAACGGCCATAAAAATTATTTATATTAATGATGTCTCCAAAGGTCAAGTTATTTTTATGCGAAAAATTAGTTATTAGAAATCGCGGCCGCCGTTTAATGTGCTGTTCCGCGATGAAAACCAGCTTTAAGCAACGGCGTAGTCGAACGGTACACACTCGGTAAGTAATCCTATAATTTTTTGTTTATAGCATAGTTTATACGGATTATTCCCAAAAAATTATACGTGTTTTGGAAATGTTGAGTGGAATTAGTCTAGAATCGGTTAATTTTATAGAAGAAAACCTTTCGAACAGCCTTAGTCCGTGAAGTTCCCACCTATCGGGCTGCGATTAGCTCATGTATTTAATCGTTCCTACAACGTAATTTTCGGTTAGCGTGGAACGTATCTAAGCGTTATAGGGGGGTCTACTGTACAAACAAAAACTTAAGTGTAACAAAAAAAATTGACAAGATGGAATTTTTCTGGTATTTTTTCATTTTTACCATGTTGAAATCTATAAGAAAACGTATAAAAATCCTATGCAGTTTTTTACTTGCAGGCCTGTGTAATCAGTTATCCGAACAACCCTAGTCTCCAATTGATTTGGATAAATGACGCTCTACTGTAATTAATGTAGATTTAAATAAAAATAATACAAACTAATGTATTCAACTATTTTTTGAATACATCAGTATACATATACAGATACAGTAAAATCTGGTTTAAGATGTTCCCAAATGAGATGTTTTCCCACCTAAGTTGTCCAAATTCCGTGGTCTCATTATTTGCCCATTATAAGACGTGTTTAAAATTCCAGCATAAGATATTCCTGCACGAGATGTTACAAAATATCAGTCTCTGAAGCAATTTTTACCTGCTTAAAATGATCATGATCAGTGGTATTTTTCTCTGCATCCTCTAGTCTTGACAGAAGAGCATTGTAATGTTCAGTATTACTGACATTGGGAATTAATACTGAAATTTATAAACTTAATTAATTTAATGGCTCAATGATAACAAACTTTGAAATTGAAATTGTCAAAATTTAATTACAAATAAATTTCATTAAATTTGATTCCTGCCTATTTAATGTTCAGAAATTGAAATTATACTTTTGATTTTCTGACAAATTTTGTATTTGAATTTGAAAATTACTCCTTTCCAAAATTTTAAATTTCTTGCTGTGATTGGTTAAAAAAAAATCTCTTGACTAACAGTGATTTTAAAAACAGTATAAATAGGTTGTTTTCATTTGGTATCTCTACCTTCCAACAAAGTTCTACATCTTTTATCATATTGTAAGTATACAGTATACAGTATTACACCATATTGGCCTAAATATTACACAATGTTTTTCTTAGACTATTACATTTTAGTAGGCTGCACTAAAAACAAGAAAGATACTATAGACCAGTACTTTAATAAAGCTGTAGCTATTACATTTCATTGTAACCACTTATAAAATCAAATATCTAGATTACAAAAATTTTTTGCCATTTCCATTTAAGACATTTTCAAAAATGTCTTAACAGGTTTTACTGTACACAAATTTTCAAGAACTTTGTAAATGCTGTAAATATGTTTCTTCTTCTGCTATATTATTAAAAAAGCTGGCAACAATGTCGCTGAACTTTTCAGACATTCTTTACTTGTGTTCGTCCTTAATAATTGCTATTGTTACCTTTAAATCTTCAGATTTACATAAAATTTCTAATATGATGGCGTACTCAAAGTGGGGATAATTTAGCCATTAAATATCTTTAAAATATTACCCTCTCCCACCTCTCCTTGAGATCTTTTGGTCTAATTTGAATGAAAATTATGATTAATAACACAAAAGAAAATATTTATCTCAGAGAATTTCATAAAAAATAATAATTTTTATATTTTTTTCACTCACCCAGACCTAAAGTTCAAGGTGAGAAAATATTAATTTCTTAAAACTATGTAATTAATATATTGAAAAAAGTAGAATTCAGTTGATTTATTCTATCAAAAGTTATAAAAAGAACCACTAAAAATGTTAATATCAGAAGTGTAATAGTTTTTGAAAAAATTTTTGAAACACATATATTTAATTTTTGATAAACTAAAAATTCGTACAATTAAAAAAATAAAAAATCATAACTTGGAGACTTTTTGAGATATGGCCCCCACTTCCTTAATATCTCCCAAACCAATGATCTGATTTTCCTGAAAATTTCTAGGAATATTTTTCCCTATACACAAACCTCCCTGTAAAATTTCAGAAATTTTTGAAAAATGTACAGGAATTGTTAAACATCAAATTGGATGAAAAAAATCCCTTTTTTGCATTTCCGAATGTTTCAAAGTCCTACATCCAAAAATAAAAAATCTTGGGGTCATTTTTGATTGATCACTGTACCTTTACTCTGTTATAAAACAGCCAGAAAAGTATAAATATTTTAATTCCTATTACTTTTACTATTACTATTACTATTACTATAATTTTCCAATAATAAATTTTTTTGTGCTATGATGCTGATGAATTCTTTTAACAATCTAAATAATATTTATGCTCAATACACAACAATTTCATTAATAATTATCATTAATTACCTCTGCCAATCAATAACTTCAAAAAATGGCATAATATATCCATCAGCAATAATTACTGGTATACATCCTGCCATCATTGCATCACTAAGCATAGTTTGACCAAGTCTTGCACCTCGAATATGAAGACAAAATGTAGCTTCCTGTAATATAAATTTTTATTTTAAAATAATTTTACTAAATGTTTTAAGTGTAAGTAAAGTATTTTCGAATTACAAATAAAGATACGAATTGATGAATTTTGACTAGAAATGATGTAACGATTCACTTACTAATGGACAAAATATATCGTTATATCTTGAAATTCTGTCGATTTAGAATGAGTTTAAAGTTTAAAAAAAAGACATCCTAATGCATTTTCCATGAGTAGTAAGCGTTTATCAGTCATATATCCTTTACTGTAAAGATCCGATTGTTCAGGAAAGAACGGTGAACAAGGAGGAGGAGATGAAAAAAAGGTAAGAAGTGAGATAGAAGGAGGAGAGGGTGAGGGGAAGAAGAAAAAAAAAGGTACAATTTCGATATGGCACAATAACGTAGCAATAAATTTGATTGTGGCACATCATTTTTTCAATTTTACGGAAATTCAGTTTTAGTTTGGACATCAGAAAGACATCTGGCTGGTTTCAATTTTAGTCTCTTTGGCAGTTCGTGCATTTGCTACAATGCCATTTTTCGTCTAGAAAGTCGCAATAGTGTTTTCTAGAGAATCACTAGTAACGGGTCGGCGAGCCCATTAAAAGACCTAGACAGACCACCTGTTCGCNAATGAGAAGTCTATTTTGAATATATTATTTAATAATTCAACATTTGAAAATATATTTTTTTCTTTTCAAAATTAAATTATATGCAAAATTTCTATTTGTTATAATTATAAAATTGTTCATATAAATATTCAAATAATTAAAATCAATATATTACTCCAAGTATATAAAATTAAATAAAAGTAATCAAGTAACATTAATTAAACATAGTAGTGATGGATTCATTTACATGAAAAATAAATCTTTTTTTTTTAATTATCAAAATATCTAAAGTGATTTCAGAATTATTCAAATGATTCACTCTCTTTTTTGGTATCTTTTAACACTAAAATAAAAAAAGAAAAACTTGTCCGAAATGTAATAAAAATCCCTTAGTCAAAAATTGAAATTCTGCATCAAAAATTTTTTTTGCCAACAAAAGAACAAATTTGCACCCATTGGAAATACTTAACTGTTCAACTCTATTTGTTTTTAATTCAGACAATTGTAAGTATCACATTGAGAAGATAAAACTAAAGAAATCAACATCACTAGAAACAATGCACTAAAAAGCTAATTAAACAATGTTTGTGACTCTTGATTTGATCCCATAATAGACAATTCATAAGTTTCAGTTTTTAAGTATACTGTTTGAAATATGAATGTTACAATTTAATAATTTTATAAATTAAAATGATATATTAAAGTAACAGGTTATTTTTAATTGTATTTAAAGTATTACATTATTAATAATGGGATTTTAAAAAATATTTGAAGACTCACAATTTCATGCTTAATGTGGAAAATGTAAAGTGATTAAATCATCATCTCAGCATTAAACATCTGATAAATTGCAAGAATTTAGCTGAAATAATTCAAATGACCAATCACTAACATATACTAATTATGGCTGAATTAATTAGCAATAGCATTATTATATTTAACAACAATTAAATCTAATGAAATGATTTAATTGAAAACTTATTATAATTACAGATTACATAATTAGAATTAAAAAAAAAAAAAAAAAACAGAAATCTGTTTTCCTGTTTGGTTTCTGATTCAAATTATTTTGATTATAAAAATTTAACTACTTGATAAATACTTGAATTTACATAAATTAAATACATGTAGGTTGCAATTTGACTGTATGCACTGGCATAAATACAACATACTTCCTACATGTTTCATTCCTGTTTATAATTCAACAGGACTATGAACAAAACTGTACAATGCACTTATTATTTAAACAAAGATGTCTTCTGTAAAATCCATTACAGTATGTGAGATAGAATAGGAATATTTATTCATATTAAGTTACAGTAGAGCGTCGTTTATCCGAATCAATTGGGGACTGGGGTTGTTCGGATAACTTATTTTTCGGATAACCAATCCCGTGTTGAAATTTTTCTCTGTTGCGTGTCACTTTGCGTTGAATTTTCGTTGAAGTTAAGCCTAACGAAGACAATTGTATCGTTAAAAATTATTTTTTTATTTTGTACAAACAAAATAAATATATTAAAAAATATAAAAACAATAAAAAATTATACTTCAGAAGTTAATTTAGTATCAAAAAAGTAAAATATTTGAGTAGCGAAGACATAGCCAAAGGTTGCAGCGCCAAAGCACTGGCGAAAATTTAAATTTGTCGACTGGAATTCTTTCGGATAACCGACCTTCGAATAAATGACGCTCTACTGTACTATGTTTTTCCTTTTAATTTCCATTATTCTAACTTTTAGGAGTTGTTTTGTTAAATAACAACAATCATACCAATGATGTTCAATGATCATCTAATCACAAATATCTTGTTAAATAATTCCTACTACTTCTGTTTTCGCAGCTTCTAGCTAATGAATTCTATTATTACTCAAATATGATTATGCAAATTACATAATCATGTTAAGATAGTAGTCAAGTTTTCCAAGACATCTTGGTAAACCCCTCTGAATTATACATGAATGAAACTTTACACATCCATTATATCAATTAATCAATTATTTTGGATAAAAGCATGAAACATTAACACGAGGTGACAAATTCCATGAAATTCTCTGTATTTTCCAAATCCATGAAAATTCCATGTTTTCCATGATTGCTCTAAACTCTAATTTTATAAATGAATTAATAAAGATCTTAATGAGTAAATAAGACTTTCTTAATATTGAAAAAAATTTACATCTCTCTAAAATAAATAAAATATGATTTTACCTCTAAAATATTAGGATATGAATAACTAGTATTTCCATGACAACGATAACTTTCATTTTTTGACTTCCTAAATTCTTCTGAGCATTTTCCTAATACTAACAGTTCTGGATGTTCTGCAGCCAAAGCATCCAATTCATTTTTATATTCATAATGAATATTAGTTTGTGCTGAAACAACAAGCCATTTTCTTGATGACCTAAAAAGAGAAAAGCACTAAACTTCACTAAATTTCAAAATGTTAATTTAAACAATTTGTAAAAAAAAAAAAAGTATATTGCTAATACTAGCAAAACTGATATTTATATTACATTTTAAAATTTGAAGAAAGGGAATAAACTGTTTTAAGCATAGAAAAGTGAAATTTAAAACTGAAGCAAAAAAATTATTTTGTAAAATGATTTCAAATATTCTTGTCTAAAATATACTACAATAAAATACACAAAAAGCTGAAAAGGATTCTTGCTTGTCTTTCCTGGCACTTAAATAGGAAGCAGATCAGGAAAGAAATCCAACAATTTTCAATTATCTCATGATATAAAATTTACATAATATCAAAAGCGTAAGAGGGGTAATTTTGTTAAATTATGAGAAATTTCTCTATTTAAAAGAATATTTAAGTTTAAAAAACACTAAGACACATTAGCATACATGATACCATCTAAATTATTACAAAAGTTGCTTCTAGCCCTTGATATAATAATATCAATTAAATTAAATTATCCACAACTGTGAGGCAGATTATCAGACCAAATGATGGGCACAAATGCTCAGAGATCAAAGTGAAAACAATTTAATAAACTCAAAAAGTTACTACATAAGTGTGAAAACGAAAACCCAAAATGCATTTCGGACTATTTCCTAATAGAAAACAGTCCCTCATCAGTTGGTATTAAAGGTAATGATTACCTTGTATAATAGAATTATACAAGGTAACGGTCAACTTAAAACTAAGCCTAAAGTTATACAATATATAAGTAAGCATCATCAGTAGGTATTATCTAAAGTAGGTGGTATATTAAAAATTATACAAAGTAAGGTAAACTTAAAAACTATACCTAAAACTATACAATATAAAGGTGAAGATGCCAATATAACAGTATGAGTAGTAGGCAATATCAATGTAGACAGGTGTAATAAATCTTCATGACCTTGCATGGTGGGATGACATATAGGGTGCTGATACAAAACAGTTATAAGTTAGACAATAATTAGTTAACACTAATGGACTAAAGTTATACAGGCAGGTAATGTACATACCAAAAAAGGTAAGACGACAGAGTAGCAGGTGCCAGCTTACAACAAGGTGCTGGGAGTGGTAGTGAGGGAGTTGTATGTCAGTCCACATCTGATGTACAAGTGGTGACAACATGTGATATAATTACAAGTTCTTAACGGTTTTAACAGTACATGTGGACATTACATCACAAAGATATTTAGTTTTTAAAAGATATAATTATACCATCCTTCGTCAATTTTAACACCTAAGTTATCATTAATTCTAATAACATTATCACTTTTTAAAATCTCTATGTGCTCAAGATATTTATAAGTGTTGGTTTCAAATTTTATTGCTTTTATTGTACTTTTATTAATTTCACAACCATATAGATTGCAGTGTTTGGCAACTGCATAGTATTCAGAATTGTATTTGATGGCATTTATGTGTTCTTTTATAGGAACATTGAGACATCTTTTTGTTTCACCTACATAGGTCATAGGGTTATTACAGCTACAGTTAAACCTGTATATCACGTTGCTTTTTTTAAGGATATTAACCATATTGTTTGAGTGGTTTGGTTGGATGTATTTTTGGGTTTTATTACAAAGGTCAGGGACTAAATTGATGTTGGTACTGTTTAAGACCATTTTAATTTTTTTCAAACATATTTTTGACATATGTAAGTTTTAAGAACTTTTTAGTATCATTGTTGTTAATGGGAATAACGGTATGGGCATTGTTGTTGTTATTATTACACTTAAATTGATTTAGCCATTTGTCTAGGAGTACTTTTGGGTAATTATTTAGTAAGAAGGTCTGAACAATGTCCATGATCTCAAGATTCTTTTTGTAATCGGAGGTAGTTCTATTGGATATCTTTTTGATGAAATTGACAAAAATGTTTCTTTTTATGAACAGGGGAGTATGTGAGTGGTAGTCCATGACTTTATTAACGTTACAAGATTTTTTATAATATTCTATTTCAAGGATGTTAGAATGTCTAGTAACTAAAACATCCAGGAATGGTAATTTGTTGTGAAGTTCGTTCTCAACTTGAAATTTAATGTTGTTATCAAGACTATTAACGATTATAACCAAGTCGTTAGGGTTTAAGATTACTGGGTCGTAGATTATAAAACAATTGTTGACATATCTGTTGAAGAATTTGATGCCATGGATATTATTAATGGATGTATCGATATCGATAACACTTAGTTCAGCTAAAATAGGGCCAATAATGGACCCCATAGGTATGCCAGATTTTTGAGTATAGTATTTCCCATTAAATTGGAAATGGTTGTTCGATAAGATAAGGATGACAAGGTCAATGAGCCAATCTGCACAATTTATAGACCTGAGGGAATTAACAATTCTATCTAGGATGATACTGGGGTACATATTCTTGATGTCCAAAGACAACATTCTAAACCTATTTTCCATTTTGACTTTTTTTTAAGGTTATTAAGAAACTCATCAGTGCTTTTAATGCAGTGTTTAGACGTTCCTAGGGATTTTAGTTTAGATTTGACAAATAATTCTAAGTTATATAAACAATAAAATTTAATATCAACAAGAGGTCTATAAGCGATGGGTGTTTTGTGGGTTTTGTTCCTTATATTAAACTTGGAGGTGCAGTGACCATAATTAGTGATAAACTTATAAACATCTTTCTCAATAATTTTGATATTTAATAGTTTTTTTAGACTAACAATCAATTAATTTTCAATTTTAAGTGTCAGATCATGGGGCAGTTCCTCATACAAGTTGTTATCTAAAAGGTCCTGGGCTACCTTAATATAACCTTGATAGTTCATGACTATACTCTGCCTAGATTTGTCAGCCTGTAAGATGACTAAATTATTATCCTTAATGAATTTCTTTAAACCTCTGAGCGTTTGTGCCCATCATTTGGTCTGATAAGCCCTCACTATTATCTGCCTTACGGTTGTGGATAATTTAATTTAATTGATACCATCTGTTATAAGATTTTATTAAAAAGTAATTTTATATTATTACTATGAGGTATATTTGGAAAGTAAAGATACAAAGGCAGTAAAAATCTAAAAACCGTTTTTTTTTTTACAGTTTTATTGCACTGTCATGTCTGTTAAGGTCTGAGTTATGTGACAGAAGTCACACAACTTTGATTGCATCATCATTGTGCTTATAGGTGTTTAAAATGGCTGTGTCAATTTGTAAATCTCACCAAGTGTGAGGTTCATTCAATGATTCAACTCCTTTGCATGAAAAGAGAAACTGCAACTGGAATTCATTGGTAACTCATTTCTGTTCATGATGATGTTACGAACAGGCAAAACATGACAAACTGGTGCCCTACTGCACCATAATGCCTTCTGCACACTGCTCGCATGTTGCAGACATTCAAGTAGATAGTTTTGGAACATCCATTACACAGCCCAAGTCTTCCACCAAATGATTATCACTTGTTTTCAAAATTGAAAGAACATCTCTCAGAAAAAAAGTTTGGTGATAATGACAAGATTCAAGACAGTGACGATGTGATTATGAGAGCAAGTGAGAGATTTCTATGATGTTGGCATTAAGAAACTCATTTCCAGGTTCATCAAATGCATTCAGGTCCATCATGACTATGTTGAAAAATAAACAAACATTTGTTCTAAAGGTTTTATAAATCAATCTAAAATTAAAATGCTTTAGAAATATTTTCTGGACTTTATATATCTTTCCTTTACAAATAGGCTTTGTAATTATTATAAAAAGGCAAAAGGCTTAATGTTGAGGGGTAAAGATGAGATTCTCAAAAACTAAAAATTCTAATAATGAGTCTGACCCTCACTTGAAAAATGACACTTGACTCCCTTTATCTCCCCACTCAACCCCTTGACCTTTAACCATCAAAATTTAATAGTATCAAATCATACAAAAAAACCCCAGGAAATGTCAAAATTTGAGCAACTACCATACTTTCCATATGCTTTATTCTGTAACAGCCAAGAAAGTAAAATGTTCATTTAGAATGTGTGTGATAATCCATCCAATATTTTATTTTTATTGTTAATAATAGTATAACATGAAAATTATTCTAAATGCAATCAATTTGATAGAGATTATTACATGTGATTCTTATTGCTGTTTACTGAAATAACATTTCAGTAAACAGCAATAAGAAACAAACAGCAATATTTCTCAAAATATGGTGCATGAGATAAATTTTATTAAAAATATAGCCACAAAACATGGCCACAGCACAAGGCTCATCACCAAATTAGCTAGAAATACACTGCTGGTCATTAAAATTGCAACACCAAGAAGGAGAGCAAATAAAAAAAAAAAAAATATTTATTGTACATAAACAGTATGGCATGAAGACAATGATTAAATTTGCAAGCAATTTGGTGGTTTACAGGAGTGCAAAATTAGTAGACACAGTTGCCACCCCTGGCAGCTAAAACAGTTCTTATCTGGTTAGGGATGGAGTCAAACTGGGCTTGGATGACAAAAACGAGCAACTCATTCCATACTGCTTCAAGTCTATGTCACACTTCATCAACCGTATTAGTTGGAGAGGGATGGCGGGCCAGTCTCTCAGCAACCCATGACCAGATGTTTTCAATTGGTGAGAGATCTAGAGACCATGCAGGCCAGGACAACACTCGAATACCCTCTGTATCGAGGAAGGTTAGAACACGATGTGCAACATGAGGTCTTGCATTATCTTGTTGGAAGATGGCATTTCGCAGGCCTCGAAGATAGAGCACAACCACTGGACGTAATATGTCAAAAATGTACCAATCTGCATTCAAATTACCGTCGATCCGAACTAGAGATGTGCGTGTCATGTACCCAATGGCTGCCCATATCATCACACCAGATGCAAGGCCCCTATGCCGATATCGAATGCAAGCAGGCGATGAGCGGTCTCCTCGGAGCCTCCAGACATGTATACGGCCATCAGAATGCTGCACACAGAACCGGGACTTGTCTGAAAAGACAAC